CTTGGGGCCCGGCTGAGCGGAGAGCCTGGAGGTGCGGCGTAGCCAGCCCACTGCCAGGCAAAGCCGGTCCTCCCTTCCCGAGAGAGGCGAGGTGTGCGGCTGGGGAACCCGGGAGGTTTTCAAACGACCCCATCCCAGGCACCTCCCAGGCCCTTCCTGGGCGTCTTGGCCTCGAGGCTTCTTCCGGGAGAAAGACCTTCCCCCTGCGCTTTCTCGGGCGCCTCCTGCGCTGTGCGGAGGGGCAGTCGCTGTGGGTGGAAAGGGAGACCGGAGCGGGAAGGTGAGGTTTGACTTGAAGGGAAAGATCGAATTCAGAGTGTGAGGACCGGGGATCTCTCCCCCATGGGACCCCCAATGAGTCAGCCAACTCCCAACTCCTCCCCAAAAATTAGCTCAGTTCCCCCACCCAGCGGACTCGGGTGCTTGGCCGGTGGGCAGCCTGGTTCATGCAAAGGGAGGAGGAACTCGGGCTCTCTCCGGGGTTGATGAACTCAAAGCACAAAGAAAGGCAGGACATAAGCCCAACCCAGCTCCCAGGCCAGCGCCTGGGCGGGGAACGTGGGGAGGCAGGGAAACAGGTCTGAAACCCCCAGGGGGCGGAGGAAAGAGGTGGGCCCAGTCTGCAGGTGGGAGCGGGGGCAGACGCAAGGCCTTGAGCCTCCGAAGCTTGATGGCTGCAGCCCGGGCACTTGCACGTGGGCACGATCTTTGGCGCGCTCTGGCGCCCCCTCAGAGGAGTGCCAGGCGCCTTTGCCCACCTGGACCCCAGCCCGTGGCCCCCAGTACCCTTACCAGCAGCCCTGGGGCCCTCCCAGTCGCCCCCCTCTCCAGGTCGGGCAACAGGCTCTAATGAACAAAAGGCCAATTAGAGGCTGGGGCGCGGCTGATGAATGGACCTTTCGCTTTCAAGTGTGGCACCGCCTCGCCTTTCCTGGCGCACAGGGTCGCGCTGGGAGAAGCCGCCTCCCCAAGCGGGGTCACTACTGGGGTCAGCAAGTTCTCAAAACTCCCACTTCCCCCAGCTACGGGGCTGCTCTGGGGAAGTAAGTCGGGGGGCGGTGAGTGGAGCCGCGAACAAGGCGCGCCTACGGCCCGCAGCTGGGCCTCCATCCGGCCCGTCGACCCAACGCCTTAGGCCCGGTTCCCCCGCCGCCAGGCCCGCGGCCGCTCTGAACAGGCAGCAAGTAAATCACACGCTGATTGCTGGAGTCATACAGGCCGGCCTAGGAAAATGCAGTTACCGAAAACGACTGTTGTTGGCCAAACTCCGGAGCCAGTGGTGCGCTGTGGGAATTACACCCCAACTCAGGCCTCCTCACTCCACACACACACACACACACACACACACACACACACACGCCTGGATCCCAAGAAACACGCAAATACTGCCGGGGCGCTGGGCGTGGGCACCATCACACAGGAACCCCCACGCAGACACGAAATGTCACTGAGAGAGAGAGAGACGCTGAGGCCATTCCCATCATCTGATTTACAACCACTGCCGGACTCCCAGATGGCCACTGTGCACGCAGGTTCCATACACAACTGTACTCCAGGCGCTCTAACTACCGCCGCACAACTACACGTTCCTGCCCAACTCAGTACAACTCTAGAGGCACGAGGAAAGCTGGGCAGCTGGACACTCACAACGACACAGCAGCACTGATCTCTCCAGCCTCTCACGCAGTCAGCACGACTAGCATCTACACATCCTGCCTTGGTCCTGGCTCAGACACACAGCTACATCTCCACACAAACACAACTGTTTCCCGGGCCCAACTCACACATGCCACCTATGCAAACACACAAGCGCGGCCTCTCGCCCTAACTTAACATCCACACCCCTATTTCGACTTGCAACTGCACACACGCGGCAGCCCAGCCCACAGGACCGCGCCGCAGACCAGGGCTGGGTGGCCAGGCCTCCCAACGGCCAGAGGCCCTCCCCAGGCGGCCCTGGAGTCCCGGACTTTGTTGCCTGCTACCCAGGCGAGGCGGGGACAGGGAGGAGCCGAGGTTCCCACGGCTGCGGCGCGCAGGCCCGAGCCCCCTTTCTGCCTGGCCCGCTTGGCCCGGCTCTCTGCCTGCCACAATCCACCCCTAGCACAAAAGTGGCCCGGCAGGTTCCGGGCCTCCCCGGGCCTCCGCCAACGCACCCGCTGCAGCTCTACTTGGCTGCCAGGAGCAGAGTCAGAGGGAGCGGGGGCCACCGGACCCTCAGAAGGAGAAGCAGAAAGGGGTCATGCCCCCGGTGGGGGTCCAAGGTTTCTCCCCCCTCCAGAGTTGCTGATGCCCGAACTCAAAACGCAAGCTGAACCCACGTGTACCTTGCAGGCAGGAGAATGTAGTTGGGGCACACAGGCAATATACAGCCCTTTTGACTCGCTCTGGGAAATGCCGACTAGGAATGGCCCACAGGTAATCAACAAGGGAGCCGGACGTGGATCAAACATGTCAACTACGTTCTGATGTTGGGCAACGGGCAGGACACCAGGCCGCATGCGTGCGGTTTGCCATGTTCAGGGAGGAACACGGAACCTGGCCCTCGATGCCCACAGAGCCCTGCCGGTGCCTCCAGGGCTGGCACCCAGGAAACACCAGAGAGGACCCGGCCCGGGACACACAGCTCCCACGCACCCCTTGCCCGAA